AAACAAAACGCTGAAAGAAAGTGAAGTAAGCATCCAACTTTCTTCAAATTTCACACATCCAAATATTTTTGCTAACCAAAATCTGTTGTGAAGATGAAATATATCTGATGCCTCACCCACAAAGGGTCACAATTTCCAATACTTATACTGTCATAACTTGCGAAACAAGTCGACGATTCTTTACAACTTTATATATCTAAATATTTCCTTTAACCAGAAATCTTATATGAATATGTAATTTAGAACAAACAACGTTTGTTTATTATCGGAGAACGATGGTAATGTTTACCAGGGAATTTATGATTTCTCATAAATTTAGATATAAATGTATATAAATATCTTGCCTCACGCATATCTTCACATTTTCCACAAATGTGCACATATCTCATATCAAGTATAGTCGATATAGTCCAAATCTGGCACGTTGTAATATTTACATCAGTCTTAAGTCAGATACGAATTGCCAACTTCTTCGGAATCTCCCCATAAAGGGTGAACAATTTGAATAATCAAAGTTTTTGGCTGGGTGTATACATTTGGCAAAATCGACTGATATTACTTTACTTGTTTTTTTATATTTGTAACCGCAAACTACCGAATGTGCCTCATCAAATTTACGGTCTTAGACCCCACTTCTGGCTGGCTAGTGTGACTTCGAAAGGAGAATCCGACAAACATATCGTGATATTTTTATCATATTTAATTAAGGTTCGCAGAATTGTCATACCCTTCTTGCAATTACTCTCAACAAATGTGAAATTATTGTCTAATTTTGGAGGGTATCTCTGCTGACACTACAGTGCTTTATCACCATATTTCACCATTTTATCGGTGTTTTCATAAACAATAATAAATTCTAATAATTATTTACGATCGATCGGTTTAATGAAATGACAATGAACAATAAAAAACTTAAAATCCGATCGGCACAAACCGTTTGCCTCCGATTAATTTTTGTGTACGTCATTAAAAAGTAATTTTAGTTAACGCCAAACATATAAATAAAGGAAGTATAGAAAGCGCACAAGATAGTATTGAAATTGTAGTCGGGCTATTAAATTCAAATTTGGAACTTTATTCTTAAGAAACGAGCTAAATTCGCTATGTGGAAACTGCTAATTTTTTTATTGATTTATGGTGGATGTCCCACTGAACAAGCGAGCAGTGAACATCTAATGGATTATCACTATGATGGACCTCCCACGGTCCCATCTTATAATGGACCTCCCACTGAACCATCTTATAAAGGACCTCCCACTGAACCATCTTATAATGGACCTCCCACTGAACCATCTTATAATGGACCTCCCACTGAACCATATTATAATGGACCTCCCACTGAACCATCTTATAATGGACCTCCCACTGAACCATCTTATAATGGACCTCCCACTGAACCATCTTATAATGGACCTCCCACTGAACCATCTTATAATGGACCTCCCACTGACCATATTAGAACCATCTTATAATGGACCTCCCACTGAACCATCTTATAATGGACCTCCCACTGAACCATCTTATAATGGACCTCCCACTGAACCATCTTATAATGGACCTCCCACTGAACCATCTTATAATGGACCTCCCACTGAACCATCTTATAATGGACCTCCCACTGAACCATCTTATAATGGACCTCCCACTGAACCATCTTATAATGGACCTCCCACTGAACCACCTTATAATGGACCTCCCACTGAACCATATTATAATGGACCTCCCACTGAACCATCTTATAATGGACCTCCCACTGAACCATCTTATAATGGACCTCCCACTGAACCGTCTAATAATTGACATCCACGGACCTCTTCGATACAACCATGTAAAAACGCCTTCAGCAACATATCTGTCTAAGTTGAATTTAATTAAATTTTATAAAAGCCACAATAAGATTTATTAAAAATTAAAGTATATTTTTAGGCTTAAAAATTATTATTTTAGGCTTAAATATTTTGTTTTTTTTTTTTTTTTTTGCACAGAAAGTGAAACAATAATCTGATTTTGCTCCTACTTTGCAAATTCTAATAATTGCGTCAGTGCTAGGTCAGGTATGAAAAACACAACGATCAAAGAAAGCGAAATAAGCAATAAAAACTCTTAAAATTTCACACATACAAACATATATCTGTGAATCCTTTTTGAGTCCTTTTAGGTCCGATACGAAATGACCAATATTGGCCCATTTTTTCGGAGCCAACTGCATAAGGGGTTAAACATTTGAACAATCATAACAGAAGTCAAAATATTTTTAATAATCGTACATTGGCTGAGGGTATACTTGTGTGGGCAAAACCGACTGATACTTTTTAACTTGTTTAAATATATTCTGACTTCTGTTATGATTATTCAAATTGTTGACCCACTATGGAGTAGGTTCGCAAGGAATGGGCCAATATTGTCCATTTCGTATCGGACCTAAACAAAGATGGTATAAATATTGTGATGTGCCAACTTTGGAAAATATCGACTACTTCTTTCACTTTATATAGGATGTGATAATTAATAGAAAATGCTAGAATGTGCATGAGCTACCAGATATAGCCGACCGAAGTATTTCATTTTCATGCGTCATTTAATACAGATAAAAATATTGGTGTGGGCAAAAATACAAGAAATGCGAAATCATAAAATCCATATTATATCTCAGGCTTCTGGTTGAGAGAAATATTTAGGTACAGGAAGTTGTAAAGAATTGTTGACTTGTTTCGCAAGTTATGACAGGTAAAAATATTGATTGTACTAAGTCTGAATGGAATCGGATGTTAATTCAGCATTTTATGAGATATTCAAAATTTTTGCCCTTTTGGCCCTTCACAGCAGATCTTATGTTAATAGAAATAATGGGATGTTTGAAATATGAAGAGAGCCGGATGCTTATTTCGGATTTTATAATCGTTTTGGTCATTCAAAACTTTTACCCTCTGCGGGGGAGGTACAAGAATGAATGGTCCGATCTCTACCATCTTAATAACAGATCTTGTGTTAATGAAAATATTGAGATGTGCCAAGTCTGAATGAAATCGGATGTTAACTTTGCGTTCTATGAGCTTCATGGATATTCAAAATTCTGACCATATGTGGGTGAGGTACTTACTGGAGTGGGTGAGTTCTGGTGGCCAACTGAAGGTAAACATTTTCAGCCGACCTCTTTGGCAAGTAAAAACGATCATCTTGTTTGTTTACAAACTGCTGGACAACGAATGTTTTCTCATCGGACCAAGCGAAGAAACTTTTTAGCACTTTTGAGTGTATTTTCTTTCGGTTGCGATGCAAGTGCTTGCACTTTTTGGAATTACAATGGCTTTACCTCGAACCCATTTTCCAATATCTGCCGAATGGAATATTGCGATATGTTCAGCTCACGAGCCATTTTTCGGCCACTGCGACGCGGGTTTCGATCAAGTCGCTCTTTACTTTACTTTTCAAACTATTTCTGCTAATGTTACTGTTTTCTTCCGTCCACTTCCTTGACGTTGGGCTACGTTACCAGTATCACGGTAATGAGCGATGGTACGAGGTTTTCCAGCCAAATATAAAGAAATCACGCTTGAATTCCATCACGAATAACTTTTTTTTTGGAAAAATTCTCACCCAAATGCTTTCGTTCGCTTGTAAACAATATTATGAGCTGTCACTGGAATAATTTTAATTTTAATTTTTAAAAAAAAATTGAACAATATCCTTGAAACGGTTCACGCACTTCAATCAGGATATTTTTAAAAATTCTTTCTTTAAAAAGTATACGAATTTAGATAAAATATTAATCTTTTTATTAGGAGGTCCGTTAACTATGTTTTAAGTCCTCAAAAGTATGTATTTACAAGGTGAGATGAAAAAACTGCAACCAACTTCAGACTGCTGTCATTTCTAAGCCACTCGTCCAATGGCTGTTAAAATTATTCCAGTGACAGCTCATTATATTGTTTACAAGCTTACAAAATCATTTTGGTAAGAATTTTTCCAGAAAAAAAAAATATTCGTGACGGAATTCAAGCGTGATAGTGTGATTTATTTATATTTGGCTGGAAAACCACAAGTTGCATTTAAATGTGAATAAATCTCGTTACCGTGATACTGGTAGCGTACGCCGACGTCAAGGAAGTGGACGAAAGAAAACAGCAATATCAGCAGAAATGGTTCGAAAAGTAAAGAAGCGACTTGATCGAAACCCGGGTCGCAGTGGCCGAAAGATGGCTTGTGACCTAAACATATCGCAATACTCCAGAGGAGCCCAGGGTAAAGCCATTGAAATTCCAAAAAGTGCAGGAACTTACACCGCAACAGAAAGAAAATAGACGAAAAAGCCTTGGGCACGCACTTCACTTCCTCACTTCATTTCCAGCGCACACTGGCCACCAAAATTTCCGGATACCAATCCGTTGGACTATAGTGTCTGGGGTATTTTGGGAAGCAAGGTAGTCACTAAAAATACCGAAGTGTCGATCACCTCAAGCAAGCGCTTCGCCGGGAATGGGCCAAAATACCGCAGAGCAATATACGGGCAGCGTGTGACGGTTTCATTGGCCATTTGAAGGCCATAATTCGTGCCAAAGGTGACCAATTCGAACAAATCTAAACTTATTCTAACATTTGATGCTATTTCCGATTTTTTTTTTTACTTTCATTCAATAAGATTAAAAAAAAATAAAAATGATGGCTTTTGACTTAGTTGCAGTATATCTATGGATAAACCGGCTGATACTTTCTATCTTGTTAACATTAAACTTCGTCATTACATATCACACAAAATCTCTGATTTCAAAACGAAACCTTTTCTACGAAATGGTACAATGCCAATGTGCTTAAAACATGCTGCTGATACTAGTCGATGTTTTTTTTTTTTTATTTTCCCAAAAATGTTAATGTTTAATTAAAAAAAATGGTTATCAATTTACAGCTAATGGGTACTTCTTTTTGCCAAAGAGTTAATGACCGAACAAAACGAGATACATTTTAGCTTTGCAAAATATTTTCATATAAAAAGCAGTGCAAAGTTAACAATGCATCGAAAAAACATTTCGCGATCTAAAAAGAAAGAACAACTACCACAATGTTCAATAATTTCTCGAAGACATTTGCCATGGTTTTCATGGTTGCTTTTGCTGGCGCATTCTCACAGGACTTTGATAATTTCATTCCAAAAGTGCGCCGTGAAAATGTTGCCAGATTGATTTTAAATTCGAAAAGTAGTCCGGAAGTTATTTCATTATGTTTCGACAGTTATAATTATTATTGGAATGCATCGAACACCGTGTATCGCAGCCAATACGATTCATGTCGTACAACAGCAGCCAAAGGAAATTCGGCTATCAATGAGGAAGTTGCATCAAACATAACATATGTGATCACGCTACAAGAAGAATCAGCCAAAGAGTATGAGGAATGTAATGAAGAAAAAGGAGACGCTCTTGCATATTTTCAATGTACAACCAAAGCGGTGAGTAGACCATTTTTTATACACTCCACCATTCTTTGTAGGGTATCTTAGCTTTGTCATTCCCTTTGTAACTCCTCGAAATATTCACAATAGACCCTACAAAGTATATATATTTTGAATCAGCGTCCGTCTGTCTGTATGTCAATCTGCCTGTTGTAATCACGCTATCCTTCGATCGAATTGAGATAGAAGGTTAAAATTGCATACATGCATAGTTTACAAGTAGGCAGGTTAAGTTCGTAAATGGACCATGTCGGTCCACGTTTTCGTATAGATCCCATACAACGGTACCTCCCGATATTCGGTATTTTCATGATTTTAGCGACATTATCTACCGAAACTATTTCAAATTTCGTATTTGAAGTTCGTAATGGGTACTACAGCCTATGACAAAAATGTTTGTATGCAGGTCCACGTCTTCGTATAGTTACCTTATAACGGTACCTCCTGATAGTCGGTATTTTTACGATTTCAGCAACATTATTCACCGGAATCGTTTCAAATTTCCTATTGTAAGTTCTTAATGGGTACTACAACCTACGGCAAAAAATTTCGTATGCAGGACCGCGACTTCAAATAGCCGTATGGTGGCTACTTCGGTACCTCCCGATACTCGGTATTTTCATTATTTTTGTGACATTATTCACAGGAATTGTAACAAATTTCGTATTTAAAGTTCGCAATGGGTACTACAGACTATGAGAAAAAAAATTTCGTATGCAGATTCACGTTTTCGTGTATCCCTCATATAACGGTACCTCTCGATATTCGTTATTTCAATGATGTTAGCGACATTATTCACTGGAACTGTTTCAAATTTCGTATTTGAAGTTCGTAATGGGTACTATAGCAAATGACAAAAAGGTTGACATCTTCGTATAGTCCCCATATAACGGTTTTCAATTAAGTGATAGTTTTCAGAATCTTTTTTTGAAAATTTTCATGTTCCTTCCAAATGGTGGAGGGTATTAAAAGTTCGGCTTGGCCGAACTTAGCTGTTTTTTTACTTAATTGTTTTTCATGAAAATGTTAATGTTTCTTCATAATTATCTCTTTTTTCAGGCTACCAATGCTGCCAAAACCTCTCGTGACATCCAAAACATATCCAACGATAGAATCCAATATGTTACGATGCGTCGCGATATGGTGAAATACGATTGCGACGACTGTACCGGTAAATGTAATGCTGCTCATAATGCTGAGCTAGCCAAGGTAGAAGAGGGCTTGTTGGATTGCTTGTCTGGCAAAATTCCCCCACCTACTCCCCCCACGCCTACCACGTCATCGACAACAACCTCTCCAACTCCCAGTTCAACCACAACCACTCCACAACCATCTGTAGAAACAACAACTTCGGATGAGTGATTTCAAAGCTGTCGTTATTTGTTCGGACCCTTGTATGACACTGACAACTGCAACATGATTGATGAATTTTATGTATGTAAACAGGCTTTCATCATGGTACAATAATAAGAGTATTGCATTTATCATAGAGGTTTATTAGATTAGTTGTCGAAATAGTTATTGTGATTGAAACCACGCTGAATTAGATAAACAATTAGTGAGCAAAACATTAACGGATTTTGACATTTTGTCTGATTTTAAAAATCTAATGGGACACCTTATTACTGTACCATGATTGCAATATTATAATTTTATTCTATCCCGATTATATGTTCTATATTCAAAATATTTTATCTGCAAAATATATATATCATACAATAGCTGATTTATAGCGCATTTATATTATCGTACTTCATCATAATTCGGTAAAAATATTGGATGTGCTTAGATTATTGAAAATCAGCGAAAAATTTCTCCTTTTAGGATTTTTTTAAATGTTTGTCATTTGTTTGTCAAGTACCTGAAAGAGTAGTCTCAGATGTAAATATACGTAAATTACAGATCAGCTTTGCCAAGTTTAGGATATGCATGTAGAATATTGTTTAATTATTTATTTTTTATGCAACTATATAATTTGAACCGGTTGATGTTTCGGGTTCCTTTCCAGCTAAGCAATCTTGCAATTGAGCATGAACCTTTGCCGTGTCCTTTACATATATATCCGAAGCATTGGAACTACAGACATTTTGACTGTATTGAATTTGCTCATATTTCAGTTTGATGTATTGAACTCGATCTTGGGCCAAAGTTTGAACGCCATAAGCTTGGGATGTGGCTCTGACAGCCTAAAAAAGATAGTAATTTAAATATTTAGAAAGGCCCACATAACTAAGTTGCAGGAGAAAAATTTAACATATTCAAACAAAAATATAAATAAATACAGGGTGAGATGAAAAAACTGCAACCAACTTTAGACTGCTGTCATTTCTGAGCCACTCGTCCGACAGCTGTTAAAATTATTCCAATGACAGCACATTATATTGTGTACAAGCGTACAAAAGCATTTTTGTAGGAATTTTCCAAAAAAAAGTGCAAGAACTTACACCGCAACAGATAGAAAATAGACTCAAAAGAGCTAAAGAGTTGCTTCGCTTGGCCGAAAGTGGTAAACTGCCGAAATTGGTTTTCTCCGATGAAAAAAGATTCGTTGTCCAGCAGTTTGTAAACAAACAAAATGATCGTGTTTACTTGCCAAAGAGGTCAGCTGAAAATGTGCACCTTCGTTTGGCCACCAGAACGCCGGCCATGGTGATGGTGTGGACCGACATAACGCCGATAGTCGCTCTCCGCTCGTATTAATCAACCATGGCATCAGAATAAATGCCGAATACTGTCGCGAAATATTCTGGAGAGTGTATTAAAGCCTTGGGCACGCAAACATTTTGGTAGCAGACCTTAGACTTTCCAAAAGGACTCAGCACCATCGCACTCAGCATGGCGTTCCTCGCTTCATTTCCAGCGCACAGTGGCCACCAAAATCTCCGGATACCAATCCGTTGGACTATTGTGTCTGGAGTATTTTGGAAAGCAAGGTTGGCACTAATAAATACCAAAGTGTCGATCACCTCAAGCAAGCATTTCTCCGAGAATGGGCCGGTTCCATTAGCCGTTTGAAGGCCATAATTCGTGCCAAAGGTGACCAATTCGAACAAATCTAAATTTTTCTAACATTTGATGCTATTTCCGACATTTTTTTGCGTTCATTCAATAAAATTTAAAAAAAAATGTAAAAATTATGGCAATTGACTTTGTTGCAGTTTTTTATCTCACCCTGTATATACTGGAACAATAACGTCTGTAAAACTCACCGCTTCATTGCTACACGAGAAAAAGCCTGATGGATCCTCACCAAAATCACAATCATTGAATGCACCACAAATTTGTTGAACAGTGCTACTGACCGAATCTGCAGCGGGTGCAACCTCGTTACGAACATCGTCCTGAGAATTGGTACTCTTCTCCAAACATTCCTGATATTGAGCCTCATACTCATTCGTTATATCGTTCAATTTCGGAAGATATACCGAGAAACATTGTTGGCTTCTCGATGGGTCGTACTGCACGGATGAGACGGAACTCAAAATGGTGTTGGCCAACCCATAATCATCCTGTGCCTTAACAATGGCAATTAGCGCAAATACGCCCAGTATAAAGAAATTGTACAAACTCTTATTAAACATTGTCGTTGTCAAGTTTACCAGCGAATGGTGGTTATGACTATTTGATGCGATATCTGTTGCAAATTCTGGTTTATATAGATCTTTTTTAGTCGTTTATATTAATGAGATGGCTTAAGAAACATCTGGACCAACAATTACAAGGTGTGTCGTTTAAAATAGCAAATAAATAATTAATGAATTAATTAGAAAATGAAACTGCAAATATTTGAAAAAAATAAAGCATCTGCACGAATCATATTTAGTTAGTCATGTAAAAACTGTAATTAGTCTTATAAAGAATGTTGCATAAGTACAAACGACGTTATTTTTGGAAACTTTCTACTTACACTATGTGAAAATTTGACTTATGGTCAAATCGATGGCCTCTTAAAAATACCTAAGATTTGAAAGTGCCATTGTGCAGAGGTAATAGTTTTACTGCAGATTTTTGTGAGAAGGTTTAACCTACCCACAAAGAAATCGATATATTGGGACACAAGACTCCAAAATGCCGAAAATAAGGAGGTGCCGCTACATCGGAGGAAGTTACATATCCAAACGGATATATCCTATTTTCAATACTAAACATCCTAGGAATAATACCAATGCATTTGCAAATCTTCAAAGCTAGGACCTCTAAAATACCCAAAATCAACCGTTATTTGGGCGAGTGTGAACATTTGTATCGTTGAATATTCATTCATTCAATGAAAAATAGTTTATAAAAGCGACTTTTTGACTTTTATATATTTGATATTTAAGAAGAGAACACATGGAACAAGTTTTCTACTGGCTTAAGTCCTCGGGTAGCTATATACATTAACCAAGGAGCGTAGGGTGACAGGTATAAATGATGGGCCGAAATTGAAATAAGTCAACTTAAAACTCATTTTTCTTTCAAAAAGAAGCCAGACGTTGACTTAACCTGCAAGTATGTATCTAGTAACAAGTAAAAAAAACAGTAAGTTTGATCGTGCCGAACTTTTAGTACCCTCCACCTTTTGGTTAAGAAAACATTTTTATACAAAAGTATCTGAATTCGACCATGTTCCACTTTAAACTACCAAATACTCAAAAAAAACATAAAGTGGGTGAGACCGTTATATGAGGACCATACCAAAACGGAAACCTCTATAGTCAATTTTAAACTTCAAAGGATTTTCATCTACCAAATCTTCTTAAATACCAAATTTGATAAAGTTTCGTTGGTAAATTTGACTAGTATTATCAAAATACCGAATATCAGTGGGTATTATTGGGTATGGAAAACGTGGACCTAAATATTCAATGTTCTGCCGCCGCAGCTAGAACTCATTATGTACTACAAATACTAACTTTTAGACAAATTCTTAGAAAAATGTGAAACAAAAATTATCAAAATAATGAATATACGGAAGTAATGGTATTTGGGCTCCATAAAAAAGTGGACCTATACATTCAATGTTGCGCTACCGGAGTTAGAACCTATTATGATCTATAAATACCAATTTTTAGGCAAATCCGTTGAAAAATGTGGAGAAAATAATCAAAATACGAATATCGGGAGGTACCGTTATATGGCGACTATTCCAAAACGTCAACTGATATATCTCATTTTCAATATCAACCATCCTAGACGCAATACAAATTGTTTAACCAAATTTTTTTTAAGCTCTATGTCTACGTATCGTGATTTCAACAGACAGACAGATCGACATCGTTAAATTGACATAGAATTTTATACCGATTATGAATATATATTTTATGGGGTCTACGACGAATATTTAGGGATGTTAAGAACAGAATGACAAATTTAATATACCCTCCTCTTTAAGGTGAAGGGTATAAAACGCGTTAAGTTAGGCCGAGAGAAATGAGAAAAAGAAACCCTTTAAAAATAGACATGTAAAAAATTAGATAAGTTCGGTCGGGCCGAACTTTATATAACCTCCACCATTTAGAAGAAACTTGAAAAAAAACATTTCGTCGGAAAATACAGCTCAAATGAAAACCGAACTTTATATACGAAATTTGAAGCAATTCCGTTAAATAATGCCGCAAAAATCATGAAAATACCGACCATCTTGGAGCATAGTTATATAGGCGCTATACTGAAACGTGGAACTATTTACCCCTTCTGTTGATTTTAAGACAATTCCTTTAAAAAAATTGTCTGAAATCTTCAAAATATCGAATATCGGGGGGTACCGTTATATGGGGGCTATACGATCGTGGACCTATATAGATAATTCTATTCAAGAGGATAAAGTACTCACAATGAACTCCTTGTGTGAATTTTCAAAAATGTGGCTAAAGTCATCCAAATACCGAATTTCGGGGGATATCGTTATATGGAGGATATACGATGTCGTGGATGTTTGTTATCAATTGCAAGTTTCATATTCAAAACTAAAAAAATCTGTTGAAATTGTGTTAAAATCACCAAAATATACTTCAATTTTTCGGGAAAATTTCAGAGTAGGACATATTCGTCATCAAATTTCAACGTGAGTCTCTAAACAAAAGAAATGCGTATACTTAATATGTACCAAAACAGATATTCAATTTTGGTTTATAACCTTTTTAATTTTCGGCAAATTTATCACTTTTTTAACTCCACCATAGTATAGAGGGTTTATTAAGTTTGTCATTTCGTTTGTATCAACCAGAAATAAACATTTGATCTGCATTCAATGAAGTGTCAATTTAGCGATGTCTGTCCGTTTGTCTGTCCATCTGTGTAAATCACTGTTTTACTCAGAAGTGTTTTAGATCTACAGGATTTTTTATACCCTCAGCCATATGGCTAGAGCGGGTATTTATCATTTGAAAAGGCCAAAATATGTCTCATCGAAATACAGGTTTTTGTACCAAATCCGTTATAGGATTTTTGGAGTCGATCTAGCGATGTCCGTCCGTCTGGCTGGTGCGCACGATATTTGGTCCAAACTTGGAACATCGTAATATTATTATCAAGCTTAGATCGAGTCCGGAGATGGGCAGAATCGGTTCACTGCTTCCGGTAAATCCCCCACAAATTTCAAAAAAAAAAAATACTGCATAGAAAGAGAAAGGATCATCCGATAATCCAACTTTGCAAATCCGAATATTTGTATCAGTGCTAGGTCAGGTGCGAAAATATAAAATATCTATTCACTTCATCAAGTACCTTCCCCAGAAATGGTCAACATTTTTACTAATTGCAACTCTTATAAAATGTGATTTGAGACTCCAATTGTCTTCAAATTACACACATCACAATATTTTTATTAACCCAACGTATAGCGTGAAGATGGAATATATCGGTCCACACTCCCACAAAGGGTCAAAATTTTGAATATCCATGAAGCTCATAAAAGGCGAAATTAACATCCGATGCCATTCAGCCTTGGCACATCTCAATATTTCAATCAACGCTAGATCTGTTATAGAGTAGAGATCGGACCAATAACCAAAACGTTTTGTTCAAAATTTCCCCATGCAAACATGTTTGCAAACACAAGATCTATTGTTAAGATGATATATATTTGCAAACCCTTTCTCGTACCTCACCCACAAAGGGTTACGAATTTCAATACTATTATCAGTCATAATTTGTGAAACCATTCAGCGATTCTTTCAGCCGGAAACCTGAGATAAATATCGTATTTATGATTTTGCATAAAATTGGATATAAATTTTCCATTATCTCGTAATTTTGCCCATAACAATAATTTTTATATGTATTAGATGAAGTATAAAAATGGAATACTGGAATAAATTTGGAGAATTCCCAGTATGTAGGAAATGTCCTTGCGGAGAACTGTACATAAAGGACCATGTTTTGGTATGTTTACAATTTAGTATTTGGAGTTCGTGATGTGTCCTATGACAGAAAATTCCCTGTACAAATCCACGCATTTGTATAGGCCCCATATAACTGTACCTCCCAATATTCGGTTTTTTGATGATTTTAGCTACAGTATTGTCTCAAACTTGGTGTTTTGATTTCGTAATAGGCACCACCTTATCTGGTAAATAATTGGTCCACAGTGTTCGCAGTGGGTACTGCTTCATATGACAGAAGATTGCCCATACAAATGCATGTCTTCGTGCATAGCAGGAGGTACCCAATATTGGGTATTTTGATGAGTTTAGCTATTATTTTCAACATAATCATCTCAAGCTCTATATGTGCCTTCGCTGGCAGATCTACGTTTTCTTATAGTCCCGTTCAACTGTAATACTTGATAATTGTATTTTTTAAATCTATAGAGGAATTTTTACATTTTCCAAGTTCCTTCCAAATGTCGTAGTTTACCCCTACATGGGATAAACCGACATAATTGGACCGGCATGGCCTATTTTTGAAGCCATTTTTATTCTTTAGCAAAATCTATTTTTATTTCTAGAGCTTACTCATGGTTCAATTAAATCAAGGTAACCTTATATAAAATATACACCTCTGCATTTTTATGTAAGATCACGCTACAGTAAAAACGAATTAAGAAAGGAAGCTAAAATTTTGCACAGATCTGTTTTTTGTCTGCAGGCAGGTCAAGTTCGAATATAACGTATCGGTCCATGAAATCCTATAGCCCCCATATAATGGCCACATTTTTCAAAGGAATTGTCTGAAATTCTACAAAAGGAGTTCTTTGCGAGTACTTTACCTCCTCAATATAACGGTACCCCCCGATAATCGGTATTTTATTGATTTTAGTGATGGAATTCAAGCGTGATCGTGTGATTTCTGATGTGAATAAATCTTTTGTGTCTCGTGCCATCGCTCGTTACCGTGATACTGGTAGCGTAGCCCGACGTCAAGGAAGTGGATGGAAAAAACAGCAACACCAGCAGAAATGGTTCGAAAAGTAAAGAAGCGTCTTGATCAAAACCTGCGTCGCAATGGCCGAAAAATGGCTCGTGAGATGAAAATATCGCAATATTACATTCGGCAAATATTGAAAAATGAGTTCCGAGTAAAGCCATTGAAATTCCAAAAAGTGCAAGAACTTACACCGCAACAGAAAGAAAATAGACTCAAAAGAGCTTAAGAGTTCCTTCGCTTGGCCAAAAGTGGTGAACTGCCGAGTTTGGTTTTCTCCGATGAGAAAATATTCGTTGTCCAGAAGTTTGTAAACAAATAAGATGATCGTGTTTACTTGTCACAGAGGTCAACTGAAAATGTGAACCCTCGGTTGGCCACCAGAACTCAAGCGCCGGCCGCCGTAAGAGTCGATGGTCGCTCTTCACTCGTATTAATCGACTGTGGTATCAGAATAAATGCCGAATATTATCGCGAAAATATTCTGGAGGGTGTATTAAAGCCTTGGGCACGCAAACATTTTGACCGCAGACGCTGGACATTCCCACAGGACCCAGCACCATCTCACTCAGCACGCGCCACCCAGCGCACAATGGCCACCAAAATCCCCGGTTACCAATCCGTTGGACTATTGTATCTGGAGTATTTTGGAAAGCAAGGTTGGCACTAAAAAATACCAAAGTGTCGATCACCTCAAGCAAGCACTTCGCCGGGAATGGGCCAAACTACTGCAAAACAATATTTGGGCAGCATGTGACGGTTTCATTGGCCGCTTGAAGACCATAACTCGTGCCAAAGGTGACAAATTCGAACAAATCTAAACTTATTCTAAAATTTGATGCTATTTCCGACATTTTTGCTTTCATTCAATAAAATTAAAAAAAAAAATGTAAAAATTATTTCGTTTGACATTGTTGCAGATTTTTAATCTCACCCTTTATATCAGCCTCTGAACGTTAACGTATAAGAAAATATTGAAAAATTAATTAATTTTTTAAGTGAATCTTTAATATTTTTGACATATTATTGTTCACAAGTGCAGGTGCAACTACATATATACTTCTACCATGCTGAATATGTTTGCATACATAGTTCTTTAATTAGCAAAATCATTTTAAAACGGTTCAGTATTCAAGGTTGAATCAGCAGACGTTGACGTTGATTCGGTGGTAGATGTCGATGACTCTTCCGGAACTTTGCCCGCTAAGCAGTCTTGTAATTCAGCATGTACTTTCGTAGAATCTCGTACATATGTTTCCGAGGCCTTAGACGTACACACGTTTTGAGCATACTGAATGGTTTCGTACTTCAATGTGATATACTGCATACGATCCTGGGACAAGGTTTGAATACTATAGGCTTTAGAAATTGCTTTACCAGCCTAATGGACAATGGGAAAAAATAAAATATTTGAAAAAAACATATATAAACATTTAATAATTAAGAAGATGTACGCATTTTTCTATGAAAGAATTCGAAAACAAAATCATTAAAAAAATAATAACTTACTGCATCATTACTGCACTCAAAGTAGCCATAGGGATCCGAATCGAAAACACATTCGGCGAAACCTTGACAAATTTCATCACGGGTACTATTCACAACTGATACAGCTGGTTCCAATTCATTTCGCAAAGCTTCTTTAGAATCTTCACTTTTTTTCAAACACAATTGATAGTCTTCCTCATAGACAGCTGTCAAATTGTTCAATTTTGGTAAATATACGGAGAAACATTCAGCACTCTTTAATGGATCGTATTGAATTGATGATGTCGATCGTAATATAGTATTGGCCAAATTAAGTTCGACCTGTGATTTTTCAGCAACGCCAATTTCCAATAGCGCAAATAACGCAAAAATTCCCGAACTAACTTTGAACATTGCGCAAAATTCACGTTGAAGTTAAAGGGGTTTGGTAATGATTGTTACTTTTGGTACTAATGACGGTCGTTTTTATATCGAATCATTATTTTGAAATTGTCATTACCTCTTGAGATAAAAATAGTAAATACTTCAAAAAATAAAAACATTTTCTTAGAAAACAAATTACAGAATAGTTTCAAGTGCAAGAATGAAATCATCTGGTCTTTATTATACTGTGGTAGGTCATTGAGGTTTGTAAGACCCGAAGGGATTTTTTACAAAGTTTTCAAACTATGAAGATTGAAAACTTTTATATTTTTATATGTTATAAAGATTACTTTTCTTTAGGAAATGACAACTTCAATAAATAAATAAATTTAGTTTGTAGGATATGCTATCTCGATCTAAGTGTTGACAGAAATATTGTTATAGGCAAAGTTTGAAATAAATCTGCTACTGCCTTTAAGAATTAAGGCCATATATTTAGAATTGTTGTGGCATAAGTCATCGACTGGTATTTATTGCAATTACAATGGCCTAGATCCTAAATTCAGAAAAAAATCGTATGTGTCCATGCCTTTATAGCGGTACAATAATTATTCTGAAGCTGGGGTTTTGTATTTTAAATTTACTAAAACAAGTTGTTTTGCTTATTATCCACTTTTTCACAATATTTTAAAAAATGAATGGAGTGTCACAGATTTTCATTTTAAATTATTCCCCCAATAACTGCAAATTTGAGTTTATATTTCACGGCGTTGCCTAAAATTCCATGTACTCAGGCGACGTTTTCACCATAAAAATAAAACACATGTATTTATATGAAAGTTACCCAAATACGTCGGACGTACGATATTTAAAAATTGAACAATTTCAACATTGATAAATGAATATTTTTAGGTGTTGAAAATAGAAGTTCGACCGGGCTGAACTTTTAATACCCTCCACCTTTTCGAAGGAACTTAAAAAAAAAAATAAAAAAAAAACGAAAACCATGGCAGAAGAATACAGGTAGATGCATCAACGCTTGGGAGCATTGATATGTCAAAAAAAAAATTAAAGGTTTTTTCAAATATAAGTAGATTTTTATATACTTTCATTTACTACATCATTCGGAGGCTACTATAATTCGCGTTTTTCAACAATTTTTACAAATTTAAACAATTTTTCATTCAACATTTTCAATTCCAAAATTGGTTTGACAGTTCATTGTCCTAGCAGCTGTGTCGACGCGTCTACCTATATTTTTCTACCATGCATTTATAGCGATACAATAATTATTCTGAAGCTGGGGTTTTGTAGTTTTAAATTTACTAAAACAAGTTGTTTTGCTTATTATCCACTTTTTCACAATATTTTAAAAAATGAATGGAGTGTCACAGTTTTTCATTTTAAATTATTCCCCCAATAACTGCAAATTTGAGTTTATATTTCACTGCGTTGGCTAAAATTACATGTACTCAGGCGACGTTTTCACCACAAAAATAAAACACATGTATTTATATGAAAGTTACCCAAATACGTCGGACATACGATATTTAAAAATTGAACAATTTCAACATTGATAAATGAATATTTTTAGGTGTTAAAAATAGAATTTCGGCCGGGCCGAACTTTTAATACCATCCACCCTTTCGAAGGAACTTAAAAAAATTAAAAAAAACGAAAACTATGGCAGAAGAATACAGGTAGATGCATCAACACTTGGGAGCATTGATATGTCAAAAAAATTTAAATGTTTTTTCAAATATAAGTAGATTTTTATATACTTTCATATACTACATCATTCGGAGGCTATTATAATTCATGTTTTTCAACAATTTTTACAAAATTAAATAATTTTTCATTCAACATTTTCAATTCCAAAATTGGTTTGACAGTTCATTGTCCAAGCAGCTGTGTCGACGCGTCTGCCTATATTCTTCTACCATGACGAAAACTAACACTTAAATTAAAACCGTTATATGGAGACTATATGAAGACGTGGACCTGCATACGAAATTTTTGCCATACGTTGTAGTACCCATTACAAACATTAAATACGAAATTCAAAATAATTCCTGTAAATAATGTCGCTAAAATCATGAAAATACCGAATATCGGGAGGTGCCGTTATATGGAGGATATACGAAGACGTGAACCTGCATACCAAAATTCTTTCCATAGGTTGTAGTACCCATTAGGTTCTTCCAGTACGAAATTTGGAACGATTCCAGTGAATATTGTTGTTGAAATCATCAAAATAACGAATAGCGGGAGGTACCGGTAACGGGTATTGCAGCCTATGACAGAAAAATGTCTTTGCAGATCCACGTTTTAGTATATCTCCCCATATAATGGTACCTTCCTATTTTCATGTTTTAGCATCAGTCATGTTCATGGTAAAAGGATACAGGTAGTCACATCGATACAGCCATGGTAAAACAATATATGTAGACGCATCGACACAGCTGCTGGGACAATGAACCAATTTTGGAATTTAAAATGTGGAATGAAAAATTATTTAAATTTGTAAAAATTGTTGAAAAACGCGTTTATAAAAACATATAAAAATGTACTTATATTTGAAAAGACATTTAAAAAATTTTGACACATCAATGTTTTCCAGCGTTGATGCATCTACCTGTATTCTTCTATCATGGATACAGCCGCTAAAACAATAAACTGTTAACCAATTTTGCAATTGAAAAATTTGAAAGAAAATTTATTGAAAATTTTAAAAACTGTTAAAAATGCGCAACCTTACATTGACATCGTGTAAGAAAACATAAAAAAAAATATTTTTTTTTTTTTGACGAAACATTTAAAAACAATTGACTTTGAATACTGAATATCAATTTACCCAAGCGTTGATGCATGCGAAAATACGTTGATAACTCTCAATCGTCTTCCATGAAACAATGGGTGGACATGTTTTTATATTAGTTGCTTATCGTGGTCATTTGAGCTATTTTGCTTTATTTGACATTAAATGTTTGTAAACTCATATAATTAAAGTTGATTATTATATATCAGTCACCAATGAAAGGGCCTAAATGTAAACATAGCATGAAAATATGGACAATTATAAAACATTGAACAAATTAAATACATGAACTCGAGCAATAAAAGGAACTGTTTAAACCAGAGAGTTGCGACTAGAACACACAGTTCTCTCGGTGAATTATATTGATTGAATCACTTCGACCTAGAATGGGAAAACTCTTATAAATGAAAATATAATATAGAAATTAAGAGTAATCTCTGAAAAATGTGTAAAACATGAAATAAAGTTATATATTTTTAATATTCTCGAATCCCAAAGTGTATTAGATTGTTCCTAGAATACGTAGCATCGAAGTGAAAAAAACCATTTCAAGTGAGAAAAATCGCATCACCACTACAAACCAATGAATCTGAAAAAAAACCAAATTGCTCGCTAACACAAATCAATCTTTGTATACACTGTAGGAAGGGACCAGTGCCTGTTTCCATTTGCCAAAAATGTCGGAAAAATCAGATCACATAACATTAACCCTTAATGAGTCGGCCTCATCGACATCTTCAGGTACCCAGTCCGGAAGTCGCAACAAAAGTCTCAGACGGGTATGTTTGTGTGTGATTTTTTGTTTGTTTGTGTTTTGTATTAATTGAGCCCCTTCATTATCAATTCCCCCAATTATCTTTTGTATAGTCATGGAATCAATTGCCACGATGTCAACGAAATCTAATCATTTTAATTATTGCGGCCATGTGCATAAGTTTTGTATTTCTACTGCCATCTGATTTAGTAACAAAGAATGCTGTGAACTTGGACACGAATGGATTACCTTTTACCGGGCAGACTGCTGTTAGGCGAAATAATTTAGGAGAGGGTCACAATGACGACAGTGTTAATAAAGTGATTTCTTCTCAAGGCGATTCCTCTGATTTAGCGCACAATTTGGCGGTAAGTGTAAATGTGTGTTGTCTTATCTTTATCACGCTTCTGTAGTATATGAACTTATTGGCTTTAATAAATAATACAACCGATAACTAATGGTAAATCTATAAACAAACTTTGTTACCAATTATGTTCAATTCAATAGGTGCGATAAAAGGTGTTTGATTTGTTGACACTCAGATTATTTAAAGTGTTGTTTTTTAGTTGATAAGAATACTTTTGAAAAATTGTGGTAGGGAAGTTATTCCGCATCGTCAGGAAGAATGTCGTTGAATGTATTTTTTTTACTGCACTATTATCACAAGAAGAGTAGATTATTTTAAGTTAAATGTGTGTAGTAGCAAAAGTTGTCATAGGTGTTCGAGTAGTAAAATGATAAATAAAAATTAAAAACCATCCCCAAATAATAATTTTCCAAAACTATTTTTTGCAGTAGCGCCTACTTGCAAAAGTCCACAAATAAGTATTTCAAGTTATTATTCTGCATTTTGTGTAACGATTACGAACATTATAGATTATTGAATGACTTTCATTTAGGTCAACGACTCATTGTCCGTAGAATTTAATTTCGATGGCATAATCGTTATCATATAACATAAATTATTAATTAGCTATATGCTTAAATCGATAATAACACAATCAATTGATATTTCATTCACAGCAGAATATTTTACCAGCGCCAGCACCACAAAACAAGAACCACAACCGCAATCAGATATTGAAAATGTTGTCAATATTCCACAAACCCAAAGAGAACAACAACAAGAACATTTAAATATCAAACCAATAGAAACAGCACAGCTTGCCAGTATACTTAATAATGATGTAAACAATGCAAATAATTTAAATCCCAGACATTCAAATAATCCTGACGAGGACCGTACGGCAATAGAGGCTTCCCTACAAGATCCCTCAACTTTGCCAACTTTGAATGGTGTAACTATTGAAGAATTTTGGGTCGTATTGATTTGAAACATTTGCCGCAAAAGCAACATTTTCACGGTCCTAATAATGAACGCCAAGAAGCCGTCGTCAATGCATTCCGTCACTCATGGGAGGGTTATAAAAAATATGCATGGGGTCACGACAACTTGAAACCTATGTCGGAGTCATCATACGATTGGTTTGGCTTGGGCTTAACGATTATCGATTCATTGGATACCATGTACATTATGGGCTTGGAAGATGGTAAAATTAATTATAGTTGTATAAATCTAAAATTCTTTATTATTTGTCCTTTCACTTCTTTGCAGAATTTGTGGAAGCTCGTAACTGGGTCAATGAATTTCTGAATTTTGATGTTAATCGTGATGTAAATTTATTCGAAGTAACAATTCGCATACTGGGAGGTTTGTTATCTGCGTATCATTTAAGTGCTGACAAAGTTTTCCTAAAAAAATCGGTAAGTATACATACTATTTAGTCTAATATATGTTTATTCTATGAAATTTTTAAAACTACAAAAAAAGTGACATTGATTTTTGGAATCAAAGTTTTTTTTATTCAATTTAAAGTGTTATCACATAGGTATATCTTAATTGCATTTTAAAAACTCAAATATTTTGTAAATAACACATAGAAGCCTATTACGTTTTTCTTTTGTTTACAGATTGAGTTAGGTAATCGTTTGTTACCTTGCTTCCTATCACCGTCAGGCATACCATACTCAGATGTGAATTTGGCAGCGTTATCAGCTCATGCCCCTAAATGGTCACCCGATAGTTCTACTAGTGAAGTAACAACAATCCAATTGGAATTTAGAGATTTAAGTCGTCTTACAAATGTCACTCTCTATGAAAGTGTAAGTAAATAAAATAGTATGAAAGTGTAAATAGATAAAATACGGTTGTATATCGCTTTTATTGTTTATTACAGGTTGCACATCGAGTTAATGAAAAGGTACATGCTTTGGAAAAGAATAACGGGTTGGTGCCAATATTCATCAATGCCAATACTGGAACGTTTAGGAATTATGCCACCATATCGTTAGGGGCTAGAGGTGATTCTTACTATGAGTACTTGATAAAACAGTGGATTCAAACTGGTCACAAAGGAAATGATTTGTAAGAAATCCAAAAACAAAGACACATCATCCCACTAATATATATTTTTTGTAGCTTGGTTTCCGATTATATACAAGCAATTGATGGAGTATTCTCACAACTACTAAAACGAACTCCAAAAGAAAATCACGTCTACATTGGCGAATTAATTAATGGGAAAGAGTTTAAACCAAAATGGATCATTTAACATGTTATTTACCTGGAACATTGCTGTTGGGTCATCATTATGGCATGCCCGATTCCCATCTACTACTGGCGAAAGATCTATTGGAAACATGCTATCAAACATATATGAAACAACCCACACAGTTGGCTCCAGAAATTTCCTACTTCGCTTTGACCGAAAGTGAAGAACTTGATATATATGTTAAGCCAAATGATGCTCATAATCTTCTCAGACCAGAATTTGTTGAAAGTTTGTATTATTTCTATGCACTAACTGGAAATCGTAGCTATCAGGATATGGGTTGGACTATATTCCAAGCATTTGAAAAATATGCTAAGGTAGCTCACGGTTATTCATCGATTGGAAATGTTAAGAATATATTCAATACACGTCTACGTGATATGATGGAAAGTTTTTGGCTGGGCGAAACCTTAAAGTATTTCTATCTGCTATTAGTAATAATCCCAAAGAAATAGATTTAGAAAAATGGGTGTTTAATACGGAGGCTCATCCTCTGCCCGTTCGAGAAACTAATTTATAATATGATAACAAAACAATACACTAAAACTAAGTAATAACATGTAGGAAGTATATCAAGTCTGAATATTATTGAAATTGTAAATAATGTATTTTTTTCAATTAATTTTTATCAGTACGTATCATCTTTTATTTTGTCTGAAGATGTGGTGTACTAAATATGTGCTGTGCATACAAAACTAATGTAATGAACCAACCATGATCCTCATTACAGGTAAACATCATAATTATATAATTTATTTATGTTAATAATAATGAATCTCAAATGGTAATTTGACAGTGAAGTTGAATGTGTGTTTTTAAGGAGCATTGGTTGAACCGAATTCAAATGAACAAATTTACAGGTCTCAACTTATTTTCGGCAAAAATGTTTTTGCTGACAAATTACAACGATAAAGATGGACGTCAAATTAAACTAGAGGAAAACAGCGTTTTTTCTAAATTGACTTACGTCAATCGATAGGTGGATCTTTATCTTGTGAGATGTGAAAATTTTATTCTACCTTTAATGAGTCATATGGGCGAAATTTTCTCATTTAATGTCGAAAAAATCTCGATCGAAACAAAATTTTGTATGGACATTTTATATAGATGAAAAATTATTATTTTTATAGAAACTGCTGGATCTACGTCTAACATTCGGACTTCAGTAATTTCTTCAAAAAAAACTCTTTTCAATAAAGCGAATGCAAAAATGTCACCCCATAATGAACAAGAAATTTCGCCCCTACCTAACAATGTTCGACTGTACACATCCGTGCTCTCTATCAAGCATTTTAGATGAGGCATAAACTTCTCTATATATATATATATATATATATATAATTTATTAATGTGTAGAGTATTTTTAGTTAAAATAGCACTAAATTACTTAAACAAAAACAATATGAACAGCAACTTATCTTGTAATACCAAATAGTATATAATAATGATATTCTCTCTACACAATAGATGATATTTTCCAACATTGAAATCTCATATAAGGCAAACTAATTGGAATCTTATATAAAATGCCAAGCAATATATTATTTATATTTATAAATAATATAATTTTAATATTATTTTACAAAATATATGTGTTTTTCGTTGTTAGAATACTTTTAACGGAAAGTCAAGAATTAATTTTCAATAAAATTTGTTTAAAATTATACACTTTAAGTCTCGTTGACATCACCAAACATCGTTTTGTGTAAAAACCACCTAAAATTTATAAAAAAAAAAAAAAAAAAATTACTGGTTGCAATTTATTTAAAATATATCAATATTTAATTTATATATATTTATCTATGTCGAATAAATCACATCTATAATAGATCTTTATTAAAAAAATATTTTTGCTTTGTGATATTTAGAACCTGCAATGAATTGGAAGGTAAGATTGCTTTTACTAAAATCAATTGACTTGAACCTTTACTAACAATACTTGATTTGTTTTAATAACAATATTAAAAAAAAAAATAGAAGAACATATTTTATGACAAAATGTAAAATTAGCGGCAAACTGGAAAAATTATATACATTTCCTTTAGTAAAATTGTACGAAAATTCCCATTTTTAATTAGTTCCATAGTAGCCAATCCCTAACCTTTTGACCCAAACTTAAAGCTTTATATACTTGCCGTTTAATTGAATAAACACAAAACGCAGTGCATTGATATTTATTATAGAATATTTTTATTAAATAGTATTTTTTGTGTTTTCTTGTTTAAAGTTTTTGTTTTTTTTCATAATTTTTTTCTAATGAATAAATACAACAACGACACTTTTATTGTAATAATTTAAAATAGCACATCATCATGTTTTTAACGTATGTCTTATGGAATTTGAAAGTGTGCGTGTGTATTATTCAATATATTGTTTCAGTTTATAGATTGTAGAGTTTGTTTTTCTTTCAGTTTTTGCGACTTTCATTGTAGTAATGCTTACATATCAGTTTTTTAGTATTTAAATCATATTTATTTCTAAATATTATTAAAATTTAATTCCTAATTTATAATATTCCTGTGAAAAAAGAACGTTGAGATCATTGGTTTTCATTTATTGTTAATGTTATACTCATTTGTATTCTCATTTAATTTCCAACATACAGATTTTTTCTATTTTTATTTCATTGAAATCGTTTTGTTATTGTATTACTTAATTATTTTAAACTAATGTAAGGTCATTCATTCATATTGTTATTATTTATTGTGCTTAATTATATATCTTAAATTATGTTTAGTTTTTATTATATTTTTCATGGATATCATCAATACTAGAATATTTAATAATTTGACAAAAAGAAAATTGATTGGAAATTTTTAAAAACACACATATCAATGAATTATAAATTATTACTTTTTATTCATGTTATTTCCTAAGCTATTTAATTTGGTATGTTTGTCTTATCCATTTATAGGATGTTCGTACGTATTTTGTTTGCATTTGTTTGGTTTTCTTTTGATAAAACGAAAAAAATGAATATGTATGGATATTTATTTCATTGTAATATATACATCTTTTTGAATGAAATTTGGTTTTTATTTGGTTCGGAGCCAATGTTTTGTTTTTAAAACTAATTAAATGTTCATGCAACATAAAAAATTAATCATAACTTGAAAATCTTAAATTTTGCAACACTTTTGGAAAAATATCAGGAAAAGATTAATAAAAATGGGAATATGTAAGCATATACAATATTTTAATCAAATCGAGCAAACGTATAAAAGAATTTTTCTCAGAAGGAAACGATAAAGACAGGGTGATGAAAGGGTCAAAAATACATAGTTCTGGATTTGCTTAGAGGTCAGATGCAATGAAAAAAATATGTGTTACATCCAAACGAAAATTTTTATGTAAAAATGAAATAAAAGATACCAATATTGTTTCTGTCGATAGATCTCTGCAACTACTTTATTTTCATCGTTAGTTTGCCGGTTACGATTACGGTTATATATGATTTTCGTTAATATAAAAAATATAAAACCTTGCCGCAGATAATTTTTAACTACCTATTGGACTATAATTTGGCATTCTCAGTTCTCCTGCCATATGACTTAATTTACATTTTGACTTAGAGTTTGAGATCGAAAGTGAATGAGAACGCAAAAAATACCATTCCCAATATGATTTTCAAATTTTTGATTAAATTACAAAAAAACTCTTTGTTTTTTCCGCATTCGCATGCTGACTTTTGAAGAGTAAGATGACAAAAAACTATCACACTAATCACATTAATTTTGAAATGACCTCTTGAAAGTATCAAATATTATGGAGAATATTTAATTTGTATATATTCATAAGTTTTAATGTTCAATGCAACAATTTCATTCATTATAATTGGTCCGAACTCTATATATTTCCCAAACAAAACTTTGATTTCTACAAAAAATGATGATGTTTACCCCTTAAATGGATAGAATTCGCTTTCGTAAATGCACGATTGACCAAAATTTCTTTAAATCTCGCCAAAATTTGCTAAATTTATGAAACTACTGCAATAATCTAAAATTTGTGAAAATTCCATAATTTTTCCAATAATAGGAAAATTCAATAGGACATAGAAAAACTGCAATATTTCCTTTCACAGCTAGTGCAAATTTCATCACAATAGCTACTTTCGTTGCCGAGATATATCCATTTGAATTTTACTTTGTCCCAAAACATAGCTGCTACACAATTCTGTTCGCCTATTACATCAAAATTGATAATGAAGAAATCTCAAACTCGTTGATGGCACATGTATGCGGCAACGTTGCCAGATTGATTACCAACATTAAGTTATAGTTTTAAGTTATTGAAGCATAACTTGCGGCGCTTTTCTAAAGAGGGACCAACACGGCTTTTTGTTAGGAATCAACATTTCATTTTAACTCCTCAAGGTATGTTTTATGTTTTCATTTTCTGTCTTTGGGTGGCATCATTCGTAAATGAGTTAGTTTTTCGCTCATATATATGGATCATGCATGGGCATCAGAATAAATGCCGAATCTTATCGCGAAAATATTCTGGAGGGTGTATTAAAGCCTTGGGCACGTAATGAAGACAACGCTACCAGTTTTTTACGATTGGGCTATGTATTATTGGTAAACAAATTCACTGACACATTTTCTTCATGAAAGAATCAGTTTGTTTTTTTTTTTTGGATTATTGAAAAATACATTTTGCCGAACGTACAGAGGTATAAATAGAATATAGAATACTGCTTTATTCTAAGGAAAGAGGATTCACAACAATTCAATTTTAAGTTTGAATTTCATATTTTCAATTTCAATTTTATCTACTGTTTTATGATCGGGAATTTAAAAACCTTTTTTCTATTCAATGAAAATGTCAAGGAAAAGTTAAATCCGTTTTGATGGAACAGTTTTGCCCAGAAAGTAGGGGAGCGGAAAACTAATAAAAATACTAAATATAAGAAGCTTAAAAAAATTAATGTAAAGGTTGTGAGATCAGAGAACACCTTTCGATCGTATCAAGACATTATTAAATGAAGAAATGTGATTCTTAACTCGCATGTAATAGAAAAAACTAAACAATTAATAACAATTTCTAAATAAATAATAAAATTAATATTCATGAAGGTTATATTACAATTTTTATTTACAACACAGTAGCCACAGAGGAGAATAATTTCCCTGGCCTTTTCTTTTTTTTTTCAAAAGTCTATTGTAAATTAAACAAATCTTAAAATTCACATTTGTATTTTATAATATTGTTATTATTTTTCGTATGGGATTTTTATATGTAACATTTATATTAAGTTTAAAGTGTGCATACATACATATATCATTCTTGGCCATGGAGATTTCCATTTTTTGGGGGAAAACATTTAACGATTCTTTTCTTTGTATTTTGTGTTAATGTTTACAACCAATTCGTTGGTAGAAATTAAATTTTCTTTGATCGATTTAATTTTTTTATATCTATCAATTTTCGCATGATTTTTATACGTTTCAATGTTATTGCTTTCGTTAAAGATCTTTAGAGAACACCTTAAAGTCTTTTTTTCTGTTCTAGTTTTGTTTTTTTTTTTTTTTTTTTAAATGTGGTGGTGGCTTTGTCTTATTTTCCTTCATATTTCAGAGGTTTGATGGAAGATGTAATATTGCTTGATGGCGACGACATTTAAATAAATTGAAATGTAAAATAATGCAAATATATATTAGATTTTTATTACTTATTTATTTACTGGATTTTATTTAATTACCACAAGGCTTGTAAAGAAACTGGTCTCTTTCAGACCAGAATTAAAAAAATAAATGCAAAAAAGACACCAAAAACTCTTTTCTTAAGTCCCTCTATATACAGGGTGAGATGAAAAAACTGCAAACTTCAGACTGCTGTCATTTCTAAGCCACTCGTCCGACAGGTGTTAAAATTATTCCAGTGACAGCTTATTATATTGTTACAAGCGTACAAAGCAATTTGGTGAGAAGTTTGTAGAAAAAAACTTATTTGTGATGGAATTCTAGCGTGATAGTGTGACTTCTTTATATTTGTCTGACTATCGTTAGAGCACTCCAGCATTTAAATGTGAAAAATATATTGTGTCTCGTGAGCTGAACATATCACAATATTCCTTTCGGCAAATATTGAAAAATGAGCACGGGATAAAGCCATTGAAATTCCAAAAAGTACAAGAACTTACACCGCAAGACTCAAAAGAGGTAAAGAGTTGCTTCGCTTGGCCGAAAGTGGGTGAACTGCCGAATTTGGTTTTCTCCGATGTGAAAACATTCGTTGTCCAGCAGTTTGTAAACAAGCAAAAATATCGTGTTTACTTGCCAAAGAGGTCAGCTGAAAATGTACACCTTCGGTTGGCCACCAGAAGTCAAGCGCCGGCCATGGTGATGGTGTGGGCCGCCATAACAACCGATGGTCGCTCTATGTCGTATTAATCGACCGTGGTATCAGAATAAATGCCGAATATTATCGCGAAAATATTCTGGATGGGTATTAAAGCCTTTGGCACGCAAACATTTTCGCTGCTGACCTTGGACATTCCAACACGACTCAGCACCATCGCACTCAGCATGCGCCACCCAAGAATGGTTACAAAATGAGGTTTCTGGCTTCATTTCCAGCGCCACAATGGCCACCAAAATCTCCGGATACCAATCCGTTGGACTATTGTGTCTGGAGTATTTTGGAAAGCAAGGTTTGGCAC